CACTTGGTATGAGTTTAACCCACCGAGTCTGGGACTCTAACCGCTGTCAACTACATGGGAGTCCAGCGACATAGCCATTATGCTAACTGCTGGCCCCAAGTTCTTTTTTTTTTTTAACAATTATTTATTCTATTTAACTTTATTTATTTTATTTGACAAGAGAGAGAAAGCGGGAACCAGCAGTTAGCGTAATGGCTATGTTGCTGACTCCCACGAGGTCAACCACAGTTCGCATCCTGGACCCGGTGGCTTAAAACTCATGCCGGGCGCGTGTGCATGCGTGCCCAAGATCCCAAGAGGAGAATAGAGGAGAAGGGATTGTGGCGTGACCATCCCCCCTGGGGGGTGATTTCTCGCTTTCTGTCTCTCTGTCTCTCTCTGTCTGGCGAGCAAAAACCTCTCCAAAAAAAAAGAGAAAGCCACCAGGTCCAGGACTCGAACCATAGGTGGCCATGTGGGAGTCCTGAGCCCCCAACCACCATGCCACCTGCCAGCACCAGATATAAGGTCTTTCTCCTCTGACAGGTTGAAATTTCATAGCCCTGTGTAAACTCCAGGGAGTGCCCTCCGGTGGTTCTCTCTGGTTGGAGCAGCGCCCTCTCGCGCAGGTGCAGATTAGTACCCAATGAAGAGCTGACCCCCACAGCGCTCTGGGCAGCGCCTTCGCTTCTGGTTTCTACCTGATGGCAGTTCGATGATGTTGCTATAAACATCTACGTGCATAGCCCAGATTTTCAAGAACCTATTTCAGTTCTCCCTAATTTGTGTACACAACACAAGATGCATACAAGGTAATAAATACATAAATGAAAGAGAAGGATAAAAAACAAAAATACACATACCTTTTGCTGACAGAAGATGTTGACAAAGAGGACCTGGTCTACCAAATTGCCATATGTCTCCATTTTCTGTGAAGAATTCTCAAGTCAGTGTTTCCAATCTTTTTATTTCATTTAATTTTTATTTGTTATTATTATTAGTTTTTAAATATTTCCAGAGAGAGACACACAGAGAAAGGGAAAGTGAGAAAGCAAGCCTCCAGGTCCAGGACTTGAACCATGGTCAGCCATGTGGGAGTCCAGCACCCTTCACCACTCCACCACCTGCTGGCCCCCAATCTTTTTTTTTCTAAAGTTCTTGCCATAGGGCACATGTACTTGCTGGAAAGCGACAGAGAGAGGGAAAGTGAGAAATCACCCCCCAGGGGGAATGACCACTCTTCAATGCCTTCTCCATTCTCCTCTCAGGATTTCCGGTGCACACACACACATGTCTGGCATGAGTTTCAAGCTGCCAGGTCCAGGTCTCAAACATAATCAACCATGTGGGAATCAGTGCCTTAACCATCATGCTACCTGCTGGCCCCCAGTGTTACCAATTTTTTAAAAAATATTATTTATTTAATTCCATTTCTTACTATTTTTCTAAATTTGACCAGAGGCAGAGAGAGAGGGAAAGTGAGAGAACAGTCTGCCAGGTCCAGGACTTGAACTGCAATCGGCCATGTGGGAATCTAGTGCTTTTAACCACCATGCCATCTGCCGGCCCCACCAGTTTTTAATTTATTCTCAAAGATGGGATCTTTTGCCATTTGATGTTGCTGAGCCAACTTAATGAAATGAAACTGAGTGTCACGGCACAAGCTTTATTCGATGGCTAAGGGATGGAGTAGCAGGAGACCAGCTCACAAATAACTTCTTACTCATCATGACCTGGGGAGTTTAACGTAGTAAATTTTCCTTGTAAAGGTTGGGGGATGCCCCAGAATTTAAAAATTCACCTTTGGGGGCCGGCAAGTGGCATGGTGGTTAAAGACGCGGGACTCCCATATAGTCGTCTGTGGATCAAGTCCCAGACCTGGAGACTTGCTTTCGCTTGCTTCCTCACTTTCTCTCTCTCACTCTGTCCCTCTGTGGCCAAATTAGAAAATAAATAAAGTTAAATAAAATAATTCTTAAAAAAAAAAAAAAAAAAAACTCACTCTGGGGCCAGCAGATGGCATAGCGATTATGTCGCTTGATTCCCACAGGGCTGACTGCGGTTTGAGTCCCAGACCTGATGACTTGAAACTCACGCTGGGCACATGTGCATGTGTTTCCAAGATCCCAGGAGAAGGGACTATCCCACCTCTGGGACCATAAGGCACATCGTGCTTAAGGTGCTGGATTTCTACCTGGTTGACCTCAGTTTGAGTCCCAGGTCCAGCAGCTTGAAACTCAATTCCGGGCATGTGTGCATGTGCCTAAAATCCCAGGAAGAGAATGAAGGAGAAGGGACTGTGGTGTGGCCAACCTCCCTAGGAAGTGATTTCTCACTTTCCCTCTCACTGTCTCTTTCTCTGTGGGCAGCACACATGCTCTAGAGCAAATTTTTTTTTTAAAAAAAGAGCCTCCTTTTTCTCCTATAAGGATGTTTTCAGTGGTTTCCCTGGTAAACCATTAAGCCATTGAGAGGTGTGACATTTACGATGTACATGACATCATGATGAGGTTTGTGGCCTTCCAGAGGTCATTATGATGGCCTAATGGCCTGACAGGCAGGTCCCCAACTTTACTCTTCCCAAAGGACAGAAGAAATGCTCAAGCGCTAAACTGCACGAGCCACGCAACTCCTCTCAAGCCATGTTGTATTCTCCTGGGAACTTGAGGTCTCCCGGCCCCTTCCCCCAAGGGATGGGATTCCCCTGCTTTTAAAGTTGGGGCAGAGATTTACTGTTTCCACATTGTGTAAGGGCTCTTCAGAGAAACAAAACCAGCCCCTGCAGGCTGGCAGGTGGTGAGGTGGTTAAAGGCACTGGATTCCCATATGGTCGACCATGGCTCAAGTCCCAGACCTGGCAGCTTGCTTTTCTGCTTTTCCCTTCTCTCTCTCTGTGTGTCTCTGGTCAAATTAGAGAATAATAATAACAAATGGAATTAAATAATTCTTTTAAAATTAAAAAAAAAAAGCCCCTACAATTATTGAGATGCACGTGTCTAGAATCCACATTGTGGACCAGTGGGCCCAAGACAAAAGAATGAGCAGTGCAGGGCCAGCAGGTAGGGTGGTAGTTAAGGCACTCCCACATATTCAACTGCAGTTCGAATCCCAGACCCAGTGACTTGAAAATTGCACCAGGCGCCTGTGCATGCGTGCCCAAGATCCTGGGAGGAAAGTGAAGGAGAAGGGATTGTAGAGTAGCCATTTCCTGGGGGGGGGGGTGGTAATCTCTCACTTCCTCTGTCTCTCTCCTGTGAAGCATGCCACAAGCCCTATGACAAAAGCAAAAAAAAAAAAAAAATCAGTGGTGCATTCCAGTCCAAAGGCCCACAGGCTGAAGAATTCTCTCAGGCTAGGACACTGGTCCTTTTGTTCTGGTCAAGCCTTAAATAATTGGAAGAGGCCCACTCACAACTGCTATTATGTAAGACAATCTGCTTACTTAAAGTTCACTGATTTTTTTAGAGGTCTTTGCCAGCGAGAGAGAGAGACATAGTGAGAGGGAAAGCGAGAAATCACCCCCAGGGGAGATGGCCACACCACAGCCCCTTCTCCTTTATTTTCCTCACAGGATCTTGGGCACACACGCACAGGCACCCAGCGTGATTTTGAAGCCGCTGGATCCAGGACTTGAACCACAGTTGGCCATGAGGGAGTCCAACTATGTAACCACTGTGTCATCTGCTGGTCCCCAAATTAACTGATTTAAATGCTAATCTCATCCCATAATCCCCCACAGTTGATATATCAAATTAACATCACAGACATCAGGAGACCTTGAAGTGACCCCTCTAGGGATGACTTTGTCTTAGGATAGGCTGTCCTTGTTTTCAGCCCTTGTCCAGCCCTCTGCCCCCCCCAGTATCCACAGTTGGGGTGCAGTGACCGTCATTGCGATAGCTCCCAGGACCTCCAGGAGCAAACTTCAGATCTTCTGCCATCCCATCACCCAAG